ACCCTTGCAGTGACGCATTGAATCATGTCGTCAGGGTAAAGGAATGTTATCTGCTAGATAACACGCCGTCACTGTTGTGAGGAGGGTAATGTGCAGAAAAACGGAGCCAGATCTTTGCTATCATTTGTCATTTTTTACGCTAACATTTTTTTATTCATCGTAAAAAAGCCTAATTTTATTTGGTTGCAGTGAGAGTTGAGCATAATGGATTATACTGTGAGCGTGTGTGTGTGTGATTGTTTTACTACCGGACCTTGAGCAGCTATGAAATGTAGTTGGAAGCCTCATAACTCGACTTGAGGAATTTATATGCTGCTCTGAATGAAAATGTCTCTGCGTCGTGGTCTGACTCACCGTTCAGATATGCAGCCCGCCTTCCTGTGTGTTTGCACTCTGCCGCACGCTTTGTCAGTTTGCATTAGAGCACCGGGGCCCGGCTGGGCTGTTTACCTTGGTATGTGAAACCTGGAGGTGGGGGGGTGTGTGTGTGCTCTCGGCTTTGGCTGATATAGAACCAGTATTGATATCCTGGAAAATAATTTTTGACCACTTTGATGCCAGAAACATCAGAAGAATTCTGTGTTTTCCTCGCAGAGTTTAAGCTTCTTAAAAAACACGCAGACCATCATGTGACACGCTCCACTGAAACCCATACTTATTAATTGGCGGGGTAAGCAGTTATATAAGGCAGGGTTACCATAAGTGTCAGGTCTGTTGAAAATCAGTAACTGTGGCTAATTTGCAGTAGAACTACACGTACAGAGAAAATCAAACTTTACTGCACACATTTTTGTTTTTATTTACCCTGGCTCTAGTCGAGTGGCCAATCTCTGGCGGTCTGTATGCCAAGATCAGTTGGATTCCACAGGTACTTTGTGTGCGTGCTATGCATGTGAATGTTTTCACCAGTAACGCTTGACTAACCCACCAGAAAAATGCGTATGAGTGACATGCAGCAGTCGGACTGGTCAACAAGTCCACATGGATGACTGGCAACACCGCAAGCAATCCA